TAAACTTCTGTGTGGTATTGGCAAAAAATAGGCAAAACTGGAACAGAAGAACCTAGAAACAGATCCACATTTATATGTGAGCTTGATATTTGTCAGGTGGCATTCCAAATCAGCAGAAAAGATGTATTACTTAGTAAAAAGAGCAATTCATTAGCCATATTAACAAAAGATTAAAAAGTAAATTCTTTATTCATACAATAAACAAAAATAAATCAACATGAGCTAAGGACTTAGACATGAAGAGCAAAACCGTAAAACTTTGTGAAGGAAATTTTACATATGTGAACACTTTAATGGCAAAAAAGGATTTTTTAAAGATAGAGCAGGCATAAACCAAAGGAAACTGTTGATAAATCTGACTTCATCAAAATAAAACTTCGTGTAATGAATGACAACATAAAGTTAAAAGACAAGAAACAAGAAAAAGACATTTATTTGCAAACTCTATAACAAAGGGTTGTTATTCAACGTGCAGAACATTTAAGAACTCCTACAGTTCAATAAGAAAAGAGACAAACAACCCAATTAAAAAATGGGTAAGACTTGAACCAGCAATTCACATAAGAGAAAACAAGGATAGACAATAAATAAGGAAAGATGATAAATCTCAATGATAATCAGGAAAATGCAAATTTTCACAAGTACATTATGGCTACCAGCATTCATTCCTGTATATGCTTAAAATATATTTAAGCACAAATTTAAAAAGAATTATTATTTACTTCAATTCATACACAAATACAAACAAGGAAAGCTAATCTTCCTTCCATAAGTTTATTGCACTTTACCTGTTTCATTAGATCTTTATCCACATCATTTGCCACAGACTCCTGGATAGAGCGTAGAACAAGTCTATACAGTGAAACCGTGTCGTGACACTGGAAACACTGATGAAGGATCTTATCTAAATTGTCTGCTCTCCCAGCGCTGTTGGAATTGAGAATACATTAAATTTCTTAAAGACTGCCAATATCTGTGAAAAATTTGGGGTAGATAAAAAACAAAGTGATCTCTATTTCTTGTACTGAAGCTTGTAATAGTAATTCAATAAAACATGATATAGGAAAATAGTACTTTTACGGGGTACTAGAGTCATCAAGTTTATTTTAGTATAGCATTTAATTCAATTCAATAAACATATGCTGAGACTTCCTATATGTCAAGCAATTACTATGCATTATGGAACATAAAAATAAGTGAAACATAGTTCTTGTCATTCAAAGGCATGCCCGCCTACATAGAGGAAGCAGGGAAATAATAAGTAATTGTTAGTTAGCCATACAAATTAAATTTGTGTAGAGCCAGAATTTTGAAATCATCAAGCTAAAGAAAAATCAGCAGATAGATTTGTTTTAAAATATTACATAATATTTACCAGTAGTTTCTTTTTAAAATATAAAGATGTATAAAGTAGAGAGAAAAAAAGAAAAGGGTCCATAGTCCCTCTTAAAATACACTTTCAATATATATTATGCAATATATGGAAAATGACTCACACTCTTAATTTTACTTATTGTACTACTGATGTTCACAGAGGGCAGACACATCACTACAACTCTGTGGGAAAGGATTCTCAAAATATCATGAACAATTTACAGTTATAGAAGATTTTTTTTCATTTCAAATTTGGTGCCAAGATGAGAATGTAGAATTAAGAGACAAGAGTTCTTGATTCAGTGTGTGAAAATGTGAATTGGCTGGGATTACTATCTATTGTGATGAATACCAAAATGTGTTAATCCTTTTTACTTCTAGCTGAAAACAGAAAAAGTAGAGTGAAGTTGCACAAAAGAAATAAAAGTAATAAAACATTCTAACGCTTACCTCAAGGCAGATTACTAGTGGATCTCTAAACTAGAACCATTTTAGGATAAAAACTTTATCAGGATTTGAGAACAGAGACAATTAAAAATTCCTACCTACACACTGCCCTACCGATATTGGAGGACACCTGACTAACATTCTGCACCTCAGTCGTCTACTCACTTTCCCAAAGCCAGGGCTTCAAGCAAATGATAATGAGCACTCATGGGTGTGCTCCAAATGAGGGTGACAATGGCCTTATTTTGCAACCCCCAGTAGGGAAAGGGTTAGTGTAATGAAAATTAGACACATCTATCATCCAGTTCTGGTAATTCACAGCTAATCAACCTTCAGTCAAATGTCACGTTCTCACAGAATGTTAGTATCACTATTAGAATACACAGAATGTGAGTGGCTCAGGAAACTTGGAATGATCAGTTCTCAATTTCACAGGCGAGGAGGTGGTCTCGGCAGATACAAAACATGCAAAAGGTCATGTAAAATAACCACTACTTACCGTGCAATCATTTTGCCGAAAAGTGTGACATAAAGGGCATTGCAGGTTGTAGCAGAACGACAGTGTCGTTCTAGCTTCTTCTCCTGCACCAGTTTACCAAAAAAAAAAAAAAAAAAATACAAAAACCACCCTGGAATTAAGCAGTCTTTACTACTGAGCCATCAACAAATATCCCAGCAGAAATAACACCATTCCTGCCAACTCATCAGTGACATTACGCTGTGTAGTTGCTATGGTCAGCCTTCTAACTGAAGACTGCAGACACAGCCAATATAAAGACACTTTTTCACTTTTAAAATACCTGCTTAATATATAGTAAAGTAAACCTTAAGACTAAAAATCTTTTTATTGCTTCTTCTGTATCTGTTGTTAGTTTAAGAGAGAATGAAGTTACTAAAGTAATTACTACACTCCAATTTTCCTTATAACAACATAGCTTCTAATATTCTATTTCAAGTCTCATGTAAGATATTTTATAGGAAAGCTGATAGACAGTAAAGGATAACATTAAAATTAAAAATACCTGCTCTTTACTCAATTTAATGTCTACAGAGTGGCATTCTGCAATTATAATAGATTTTGCATCTTTTGGGTTCAAAGGATCAAGATGAAGTGTAGGCCACAACCTTTTAATGAAAGAAAAGAAAAATAAAATTCTAATAATGTAACAAGAACTGGAATCTATCCACAACCCAAGTTAAAATCTATTATAGGAATTAATTTTTTTATACTGTCTTTAAAAAATAGGCAAAACTAATCTGTTAATCATAATAAGTAATTTAATTTAATTCATTCATTCTAACGTGTTTTTCATTACTTTCAGCAATTAATCACAACAAAAAGTGTAA